AATCGCTTGCCTTCTACGGCCTGCCCGCGCGCTGCCCGCTCCGGGGACGGTGCCTACATAAACAGGAGCGGCGGCGGCGGGGAGGGAACCCTCCCAGCACCCGGGGAAGCGGCCCCGGCTCCCCCCGAGGCTCCATGCCCACGAGCAGTCCCTTAGCACCCGCTTCCGTCACCCGGGCTGGGGCTGAGCGCTCCCCGCGCCGGGGTGGTGACGCGTTTGCGCTGCAGGGGTGCTCAGTCCTGCCCGGTGCACGGGGAGGCTCTCGCCCCGCGCTCAGCGCAGTGCGGCCCCAGGAACATGCACCCCTGCCTGACCTGCAAACGGGCTTCTCAGCCCCGACAATCCCACCCTCGGGCCGCCCCAGCTGCTCCCGCAGCCCGCAAGCTGGCGCAGGACTCTTTAATACTAAATGACTTGCGAGCGTCATTAATATGGATCCAGGTCATGGGCGCTCTGCGAGGCTTTGCGAGGGGCTGGCGCTTCTCGCAGGATCCCTGCATAGAAATATCTGCCTCCGCCGTGCCGCGGATCCGGGCAGGGCCGCATGCAGCCAGAGTGAGGGCCCGGAGCCATCCCAGTCCTGCAGCTCCCCCAGCCCTTGGCCGGGATTCCGGGAGCAGCCGGACACCGGGAGAGCTGGCGGCCTCCAGCTGGTCCCTCCCAAACTGGAAGAGGGATTGGGAGCACACACAGGAAAGCAAAGGAAAAGTCCTGTCGAACCTGTGTATGTCAGACCACACCAAGCTATTCGGGAACTTTATTTAATTTATTGCCTGCTAATTGCAGCCGCGGGGTGCTGGAATCCCCCGGGCAGGCCGCCCCGCGCGGGGCCGCGCTGCCCTGCCCCGCTGTCCTCGTTGCCCCAGCTGTTCTGGCAGTCCTGGCTGCCCTAGTTGTCCCTGCTATCCCGGCTGCCCTGGTTTCCCTGGTTGTCCCAGCTGCCCTGGCTGTTCCTGGCTGTCCCAGTTGTCCTGGTTGTCCCTGGCTGGGCTGTCCCGGTTGTCCCAGCTGCCCTGTGTGTCCTGTTGTCCCAGTTGTCCCTGTCTGCACCGGTCACATTCAGCTGCTGCGCTGCTCCCTCTCCCGTCTCTGT